GCTGACTGTACTCCAGTTACAGAGCCTGCTTTATGTTGAGCACAGCTAGCCCATCAAGCTTGTTGCTGGCCCACAGCCTCTGTGCTTCACTTCAGCCCTTCCTCCTCGTCACCAAAACAGCATTTCCTCAGCTAAACTCAAACAACACATCTTAACTCTCCTGCTCTGTCATACTGCTCTTGGTGCGCTCTTTCACCACTTCTGAGACATAACTCAGTAGATGTCTTATTTGTTCTTTTGTTACTTGAATAGTTAGCGCCTGCCCTGATAGCATGTAGGCCCCATAAAAGCCAGAGTTTGGTCCGCACCATTGACATGTCCATGTTCAGTCTCCAATATAGCCCCAGACATGAGACGGTCTTTTAATTAAATAATCCTTTGTATTAAATAAAGGAACTGAGTCCAAACCAAACATAAATCACAGTTGGTTTTAGACCAACATTCCCACCATTCTACTCAGCCTGCTTCTCAGGAAAGACTTATACCTTGAGAACTACAGGAAGAATTGATGTTCAAGATAATGACATTCAGATGTGCTGTAAGAGCTTCTATTCTCAAAGAAAATGTTCATTGAGTTCCATAAATTAATTAAAGCAGGGATGTCATGGAATATTAATATATTATGTTAATACATTTAGAAAAATTTCCAACTAAAAAGACTTTCTGCTTTTTCTTTAGTTAACCAGAAAATTAAATTAACTCAGAGCTCCTCATTCCCCAAAGTCCTTGTTAATTAGGATTGTTCTATAAATCTCTATTATTAGAAGAGTTTGTCATCTGTTTCATTACCCTGTTTATTAGGGCAGTCTGAGCAGGGTGTCTTTGCTCATATCCTGATGTGTGCGTCCTAGTGAGAAGAAGCATTTCCTGCCTTCTTATTTCTTCCCTATTCGTTAAGGCGCATTTCATGCTATTAGTATAACAACTTGGTTTATTTGTGTCAGTTCCCTGGGTAAAGTAGGAATGAGATCATTGACTTGGCTATTAAATATAATAATTAAATTCAAGTGGTGTTAAAGATAAAAGCTTGAATGCTTTGCAGCATTGTGTGTGGTAAAGAGAGATTTAAAATAACCTGCAAGTCCATCAGTGAAGGACCAAAAAATAAATGATAGTGTGTCCATACAATTGACTATAATGCAACAGTACAATATAAAGGCATCCTCTCTTAAGTAGTTTAGAAAGAGCTTCATGTGTTCAGAGTAGCCTGGATATTATGATATCTTCTTAATACCTCCAATGAAACATCACATATGACACAACTCACTCATTTCAAGTATATACTCCGAGAGTTGTTCTTATGTTGACAGTTGTGCAATCATTACATTAACCAATTGTGAACATTTTTATTACTAAAAAAAGATACTCAATGAACATTTGCAGTCATTCCCAACTTCTCAACCTCACACCACATACCACTATCCTCCCAGCCTAGTCCTTGTGAGCTTCTTTGTTTATTTGTTTGTGACAATCTCACTATGTGACCTTGGCTGTCCTGGAGCTAGCTATATACACTAGGCTGACCTCAAACACAGCGATCCACCTGCCTCTGCCTTCCAAGTACTCGGATCATAGACGACATGTGCCATCATGCCTAGCCTTGCAAGCTCTTAAATAGAAGTATTTGATCAGAACATAGAGAATGGCTCATGTGTGGAGGTCAGAAAACAACTTGTAGGAGTCAGCTTTCTCCATCCATTCTACAAGACATGGGGAACTCAGGTCATCAGGCTTGGTGGCAAGCTCCTTTAATATCGAAAACATCTTGCTGGCCCCTATGTGTTTGGGGGAAGTTTTTTTTTTTTTTTTTTTTTTTTTTGTGTGTGTGTGTGTGTGTGTGTGTGTGTAGTTCTTTTATGCATATGTGAATGTATATGTGTGTGCCTGTGGAGGTTAGGAATCCTTGGGAACCATCCACTTTGCGCGCCCATGCTTGCATGTGCGTGCGTGCGTGCGTGCGTGCGTGCGTGCGTGCGTGCGTGCGTGCGTGCGTGCGTGTGTGCGTGATATTTATTTTGGTTTTGACCACTTAAAGGTAACTGTAATCAACCTAGTGCCAGCCTATGAGAAAATATCAGAAGGTATTTCTTACCTCCTGTCCTGCTACATATACACCTTTAATCCCAGGATCAGGAGGCAGAGGCAGGAGAATCAATGCTAGCCAGGCCTACATAGTAAGTTCCAGGACAGCCATGGCTACACAATGAGACCCTTTCTAGGGGAGGGGGGAGTATTTCTTTTTGTTTTATCTTGTTTTGTTGTGCATTTTTTGTTGTGTTTTATTCCTGGCTGAATTTAATTAGGATTGTTTGCATGATCGTGAGGATAGGGTATCACCAGAGCATGGGTAACTTGCCAGCAGCTAGACGCCGCTGCAGAAAATGAGTCCCCCACTCTCCAGTAACCACGACTACCTAGAGCTCTTCAGAGACAGGGTGGGGCCGCTGATCCCTCCCCCCTCCCCTACACTGTTTTTGTTTGGTTGGTTTAGTTTGTTGGTTTGTTGTTTATGTGCGTAGGGGGAGGGTTGAGACTGGGTCTCCTCCATATTGTAGTCTTGTTTGCGCTGGAACTCACAGAGATCCTCCTGCCTCTGCCTCCCAGGTGCTGGCATTAAAGGTGTGCACCACCACTGCCAGCTCTGTTTTGTGTTTTAGGTTTTGTGTTTTCTGTTTCTCAGTTGGTGAGGCCGGTGTACACGTGCAGAGGTCTGAGGACAGCTCTGAGGAGTTATTTCTCCCCTTCCGTCTGTGACTACAGGATCTCTCCTGGGTTTGCCCCCTGGCCCATCCGCTTGCTCCCAGCAGGAGTGCTGGCTTTTTATGGGGTTCAGAGACCAAACTCAGTCCTCGTGTTTGCCAGGCAAACACTTTACCAGCTGAGCCCTCTCCCTAGCCCCCGTTTTTCTACAATTAATTATTCCTCAAAGTATTTTACGGACCTGTCTTATTATTACCTGATGTGACCCCATTGTTAACAGTGACTGTCATTAACGTCCCTCACTCTCCTTAGTCAGTGCCCAATTGTTCTAGGTTTGTAGTTCATTCCCTGGAGAATGTGTCTTGTACTTGAAAGTAATAAAGCCAGATTTCTCTATAAATATTGATGGTATAGACCTTTTCTTAAATCAGACTGCAGCCCTTTCCCAATTATTTCTAATAAAGTCTGCTTGCATCGCTTTTATTTTTCTCTGCCTGTGCAACCATATGTACTGTATGCTCCCTAGAAGCACTAAACCTCTATATTTATACCATAACATCCAATTAATTACAATCCTGTTAACGGCCATGTAGGCTCTAGAGTTAACAAAGTGTGCAAAGTTTAGCTGCTTCAATTTTTTTGTTTGTTTTTGAAACAAGGTTTTTCTATGTAGCCCAGGCTGATCTTAAACTCATTGTTATAGCCCAGGCTAGCCTCTGTGATCCTCTTGACTCAGCATTCCCAGTGCTAAGATCACATTCATGAGTCATCTTACCAGTGTCCATTAGAATTGAATAGATAATTCCGGGTTTTTAGCATCCATGGTTGTCCAATCTTTTGTCACTGCAGTGTGACTTTGTCCTCTGCAAATGTGCTGGGCTACTCTCCTAGCTGTGCCGGGACATATGAAGTCCACGAGGCCACAGGCTGGAGCCGCTTGACAACATGCTCACTGGCTTGCTAAGTACTCGAATCCTGGTGAATATCAGCATTTCTGAGAAGATCAATTTCATTGGTTGGTTTTATGAGAAAAGGTCTCACTTCGTAGCCTACATTGGCCTCCGACCCAGGATCCTCCTCCTACGTTTAATCTCTGCAGCGCTGTGACTACAGCATACTTTACCACACTCACTCAGTAGGATCATTTTTGCTTCAACATATCTGTGTCTCTTGTGTTGAATCTCTCTTTGAGCTGGAATGGTAATGCACAGACCTTGGAGGATGGGATATTCAGGAAGGAAGCACTGCCACGTGGCCAGTCTGTAGAGTATGGCCCTGTCCTAGTAACAAAAGGAAGGGTCTCGTGATAGGCCAGGCTGGCCTCAAACTCCTAATACTAACTTCTGCCTCTGCTCCCTGAGTGCTGGGATTGCACCCATATGCTACACAACAGCACACATGTGCAAAGCAGGCACACACCTTAATTCTTAAGACCTTTTCTCAGTAAGATCTTTCTTAAGGTTTTAAGATCTCCTACTTCCTCTTTGCTCTGAGGTGAGATTGAAGTGTGCAAGTCATTAGCCAAGTCTGTCTCCATAGGATGCAAATTTGTGACTTCAGAAGTTCAGTAAGTCCAATAAGGAAACACTATGCAATCATTTGCAGATGTCTTCCTGGCCAGATTTCATCAAAGTACTCCACAGCTGTCATGGGCCAAGCTTAGAGTCCTGGATGAGGTTCCTCTGTGGAGAGAAGGGCAAGCCCTCCTCCAGACCATGCTGTTCCCACTGTTCTGCCTGTGCATTCTGTGGTAGCTGCTGGGCAGTTGGCAGAAGATGACCAGATGAGGTGTTCTATAATAAACAACTATAAAAGCAGTAATCCTTGACATGGACATGAAGTGTACCATTGTGATTTGTCTGTAGAAAGGTACTCCAGACTGATTATTTACATTTTAAAATGTGAAGCTCTTTCAGTGGATCCAAGATTTATTTTACTACCAGCAACCCAAGCAAGCTTGAAGATTACTAGGGCTCATGATCTAGTCCACTTACTTCCTTTAGCTCACAGTTTCTGTTCAGGCACTTGAACTGTCCAAAGAAAGAGTGCTGCTACCATTTCCAGTCCTCCCAGGAACATGGACTATCTGGGTGTGGCTTTAGTAAGACACTCCATCTTAATGTTGAAAATTACAGGAAGTGTTGCTTTGCACCTTGGTTCGTAAGGCCGCAGGTACAGAACACAAGCTAATTTCTCTGAGTAGCTGAAACTCTAGGAGTGTCAAGCTTTCCCGCATGATCTTATATGTACTGAGCATTACGAAGAGAAGTTAGTCTACCTTTCTTCTCCTTTCATTACAGAAAATGACGTCACTGCTTTTGCTGTCTTGGATCAAAACCAGAAAGAAATCGTTGACACCAATGGAGCCGGAGATGCATTTGTTGGAGGTACAGATTCACTTATTCCATGTTTACTCATGAGTCAAACATCCTGACCCTGGTCTCCAGCCAACAGCCAGAGCTTACTAATCTCACAACCTTTCATTTCTTTTTTTAAGTAACTGACTCCTGGTGCTTCTTCCATCTGCTACCATCTTTGCATTACAAGGAGATTTTACTACAGGAAGGTTATGTGTTTGGCAAAGATCATCAGAGTAATTGTGTCAGAACAGTGCACAGACAAGTCACAGCAGGTAGAGTAGATCGTCCATCAGGCCTCTGTGGCTGAGAGTGCGTGTGCGTGCGTGATACTTAGAAAGGGTTACTAATTTTATTAATTCGGGCTCAGTAAGAAGGAACAAATTTGAGCTGGTGTGGTGGTGGTGTACGCCTTTAATCCCAGCACTCAGGAGGCAGAGGCAGAAGAATCTCAGTTCCAGGACAGCTAGGGCTACACAAAGAAATCCTGTCTTGAAAAAAAAAAAAAAAAAAAAGGAGCAAATTTGATATGGATGAAATCATTTGGGGAGTAAATACTCAAAAGTAAGATCAGGACAGGTTGGTTTTAATTCTAAATTACTCTAAGTTCAGGGTAGGTAAGCCAGGCTGTGTCTCTAGAAAGCTTAGAGCCTACAGTCCAGCCCACAAGAGTCTCTCCTGGTAAATGAGTCAAGACTAAAAACAGTTTGAAGGACCAGTGGGGATGACTGTTACCACCGTCTACTGAAGGGCGATGTGAATCATGGGACACGCTAGATCTGTGGATGCTTGTAATGCAGCATTTCTTGGAAAGTATTATTTCACTTTAATGATCTTACCAATGAAAGTGTTTCATTTTTCTTTCTCTGAAATTTCTTATACCCAGTTTTTAGGGTATAAACAGGTACCCATACCTCATTTTCTCTTTTCTTTGATCCAGTGAGCTTTTATCATTATTCTTTCTTATAAAGTTTATTATGTGTGGATATGTGTCCCACTTACACGAACACACATGCCACCGTGTGCAAGTGAAGGTCGAGGACAACCTTTGGAAGTCAGTTCTGCTTTCCAAATCTAAGTGCCAAGGACCAGCTAGGGTCATCAGGCCTAGCAGGAAGCACCTTCTGAGGTATCTCACTGGCCCCTGTAGTCTTTAGAAAAGTGCGAACAATAGACAGCACCCCATTTCATGCTTGGTTTGGGTTTCCTTGCACTGAAAGGCTTCATCAGTGATAATATTAGAGTAATCTACAGCTAATTTTCTTATTCCATATTCTTCAGAGCTGTAAATCTTTGTAAGCTAAAAATATTTTATTCAGAATTAAGCCTTACTGCATAATACATTAAGGAAACCGTAGTGATTTTCTGATTGGAAATTAGTTAAACCAGGAATTTTAGTCCAGAAGCCTGTATAGTTGTATCCAGTGTGCAGATTTTCAAGTACTTTAACTCTTCAAGGTGATATGTATTCTATTTATTTGACATTTAGTGGGAAGTATAATGAGGCTGTCACAGATACGAGGGTGACCTAATTACTACCTCTGGCCCTGGTGTTCTGGCCTTCCTAGCCCTGCAAAAACAGGGTACACCACAGATAGCCTGCTGCATGCAGCGCCACCACTACTTAATGAGAACAGAGAGACCGTGAGGGGAGGGGCTTTCCTTAGGAGCCAGCTGGAGCGTTCAGACGGCTGAGAGTGAGGAATGAGCAGCACCGGCAAAGTCGGCGCTTCCGTCACATTTAAAGCCTGGTGCTTTAGTGTGCTTTTGTTTGTTTTTTCCTTCGTGCTTGGGTTTTGTTTGTTTTTGAGACAGGGTTTCTCTGTGCAGCCTTGGCTATCCTGGAACTCACTCTGTAGACCAGGCTGGCCTCAAACTCAGAGATCTGCCTGCCTCTGCCTCCCAAGTGCTGGGATCAAAGGCGTGCGCCACCACTGCCCAGCTTGTTGTATTTTTTGTTTATCATGGGAAGTGGGCATACTCAGGCCACAGAGTATGTATAGAAGTCAGAGGACAACTTGTGGGAATTAGTTCTCTCATTCCAGCATATTTTACAGGGTTATGGGGCTCAAACTCAGATCCTCTGGCTTAGGAGCAAGCACCTTTACCCACTGAATCATCTTACTAGTCCTTAAGCCTTTCTTATATCCTGTCATGTTTATTCTGGGGGTATTGTTAGGTAAATATAAAGGAAAGCAGTCTTTAGGGGTTCTGGTGGGTTTGTTTTGAAATGGTCTCAAGTATCCCAGACAAGCCTTGAACTTACTTGGTAGTTTGAACTACTGATTCCCCTGCCTCTGCCTCCTGAGTAATGAGATTACAGGTGTGGGCCACCATGTATGTGGGTTTTATGTGTTGCCAGGAGTCTAACAGAGGGCTTTGTGCGAGCAGCATACCAACAGAGCCTTCCTACAGAGACATTTTTAATGATGGGCCAGAGAGTGGGTTTTATAAATTATATACAGGCTTTACTTTTTCAAAAGGTAATACTTTAAAATAATAATAATAATAATAATAATAATAATAATTCTCTAGCTAAACTGAAAACCGCTTCCCCAATTCCCCCAGAGACTACATTCTGTTGACCCCCTGTGAATAAGAACAGCTTTCTCAACATACCCCCTTTCTGGCAGAACCAGACTCCTAGCACTGGATTCCACAACACATTGCTAAAATAAAAATAGAGAAAGTAAGGTGGGCGTGGAGGCACACACATATAAACTCAGCACTCAGGAGGCTGGGTCAGGAGCTCTGCAAGTTCAGGGCCAACCTGGGCTACAGAGTGAAGCCCTGTATAAAAGAAACCAAGATAAGGGGCTGAAGAGATGGCCCAATAATTAAAGCTACTTGTTGCTCTTCCAGGGTGTCTGAGTTCAGTTCCCAGCACCCATGTTTCTCTGTTCACAGCTGCCTAGTCTGGAACTCCAACTCCAGGGGATCCAACTTCCTTATATGTTGGAGGACATCTTCACACAGGCAGTGCACATACAAACAAATAAAATACATAACGTGTGGGGGGACTAGAAGGCAGGCTGAAATTAAATGTCTGTCATTGGATATCCTAGAATTAGTAGCCATTTTTCTTACTATAAACCTGCTCTGGGGCTTGGGATATAGCCCAATTGGTAGAGCAGTCACTTTGCGTGAGTGTTCAATCCTTAACACCACATAAAATAGTGGCTATGCATGCCTGTAATACCAACACACTGGAAGTAGGGGAAGCAGGAGGCTCAGGAGTTCAAAAGATCAAGGTCTCTTCACTACATAGTGAGTTCAAGGCCAGCAGGGCTACTGCATAACTCTGTGTTTAAAAATACAAGTCCTACTCTGATGAGTTCCTAGTGTCAGTTATCAGTGGAATATTCATATAGTTAGCACATTCTGTGTGTGTGTGAGTCACACTTTATAATAGTAACAGAAGATAACCTTTATATTCTACCTTAACTAGCTTGGGGTAGGGGGGCTGTATTTTGTGAAGGGCTGGGAATCCAAGGCCTTGTGTTAACTAAATAGCACTCTGCCACTGAGCTACACCCAAGCTGACCTTTCTGTTGGTTGTTTTTCACACTTACTTATTTTCTTGTTTGTATGTATGTGTCTGGGCAAGCACGTGTCTTGGTACACATGTGGAAGTCAACGGGCAGCTTGCAGGAGCTGGGATTCCTTCCACCACATGAGTTCTGGGGATCAAACTCAGGTTATTGGGCTTGACACCAGACGCTTTTACCCACTGATCTATCTCACTGGCCCCCAGACCTTGTGTTTTTGAAACTCAGGCTGGACTTGAACTTACTGTGTAACTCAAGCTGGCTTCGAACTTTAAGTCCTCCAAGACTGGTTCTTTTTAACCCGGGTTTACTAATAAGAGAAGCAGGGCAAAGAGAAAGTGAGGAGCATGCCCGTAGTCTAGTGCCTCACAGTCTCAGGGTCAGGTTCCAAACCTGACAATCCAGTCACTGCACTGGATACTTCTGGAAACAGGTTTGAGAGAGATCTCATTAAAGCCAAGAGCCACAGGCCAGCCTTCCTAACAAGCACTGGCTTGCTGAAGAGAAGCTGACTAAAATGACTTCATTCACTGAAGAGGGCCTTTTGTTGTCTGATGGGATGCGGAAGACTCCAGGTAAGTTTGCTGCAGCAAAGAAGGAGACGGAAAGTGTGGAATGGGAGGGCTGCGTGGGGACTGCGCAGGAGCTTCTTCCTGAGCAGGAGAAGGGGTTGCAGGAGGAGACAGGCAAAGCCAGATCATAAACCTCCTTGGTAATCATGAAGTCCAAACAGGGGCTGTATAAAGCAGCTGTTTAATTGCACCTAGATAAGCTACCTGACAAATCCATCTTAAAACAGAAATGGTTTTACATCGTGAAAATAAATAAATAAACCAATTGTTTGAAACCCCAGGTTCCCATCTCCATATCAGCAAGAGCCTTCCTCCTGGGATTAGCAGTAAGCCAGCTGTTCAACTCCCATCTTTGACATAATGGAGAGGCAGTGGCAACCTTTACATTACTAAATAGTTTCTTTCTCTTTGCCTCATTGCCTGATTAACATATCTCCCTTCTGATTGACGTATTCTATCTTTAGACAGATAATATATTCATCCTGTTACTTTCAAGTTTTGCTGGCCTAAGAGTATTTCTGTCTTGTGTGACTTTGCATATCTGTATTTCAGTCTACAAACTATGGTGGTGATTTAACTCTCTGAAGTACAATAATTTTCTTTTCATAAATTTCAAGGTTTTTGCTAAAGCATCACTCTAGCTACCTTGTGCTAATTAAATAACTCAGTACCAAGCTGCCACGTGGTTCATTTGGCCAGTTAAGAGATACGCACTTACGTCATGGACTCTCATCTATAATTCGTGAGTGAGTACCCCGGTGTACATGGATTCAATTCACAGTTCCGTCTCCAAGGTTTAGTGTGTGTACCAGATCCCTCCGGCCTTGACAAGCACACCTCCTTGTTCTGTTTGGAGACCTTCGATGCTTTGTGACCTTTGTGCTTTTATTTCTCAGTGATGACACCGCTC